ACCACAGGGTTGTACTACAGTACTTGGCCTATGCAAGGTGGATCTCTAAATATAGGCGGAACCAACCCCACTTCATATTGAGAACGTTGTAGCATCAAACTACACCTACACGACGTACTACAGTACTTGGCCTATGCAAGGTGGATCTCTAAATATAGGCGGAACCAACCCCACTTCATATTGTGAACGTTGTAGCATCAAACTACACCTACACGACCGACCATCCATTGCCATTGATAACAACCGACACGGTTGAGTGGTTGATTGGGGGATATTTTTGAACACTCCTGGGACATCGCCGCCATGATTGTCTAGCGGCAACCAAACGTGTTTAACCATGCTCATTCACACATTTCCTGCGATCCACCAAGATGAAAACGACTTTCCTTGGATTTACCACAATCCTCACAACCATCCAACTGGCGACCGCGGCCGAATGCACGCTGGACCAGTCGTCCCTGGTCTTGGAGGCGTCCATGGCGGTGCCTTGGGCCAACTGCACCAACAAGGGATACGAAACCGCGACATCCATGATGTCCCTCTTGCCGTCCGACCCCGCCAAGTTTGCCGCGTTCTGTGCCATTCCCACTTGTGTGGCCAACTTGAACTCGTGGCTTATGTCGTTCCCCGATTGCTCCGTTCAAGGCGTGAGTCAAAAGGACACCATGTCCAAGTTGGCAGGGCTCGTCTGTGACAGCGGCAGCACCACAGGGGGTGCCTGCTCAGTGAGCCAATTGATGTCCGTGAGCCAAGTCTTGGTGGCCCCCGTGCCAGCCACGTGCGCATCCGCCACCGGCATCCCCGCCACGACCACCATCATGGGACTGCTCAATCAGTCGACAACCATCATCTGCGACGCCCCGTGCATCGCCGCCGTTAAATCCACCGCCGCTGCGTTGCCGAACTGCACCACGGATGGGAAATCAGTCAACGATGCTACGTTCTATGTCAAGCTATGTACTTCCAGCGCCTCGTCGTTTGGACTCACTATGGTTTCGCTGGCCGTGGCGTTGATTGGAGCGATGGTATAGATGCATCCGTGGTTTCAAATGTCAACATAATACGATAATCTACAAACAATCGGCACACTCATGGGCGATGTACTGTAAGTACGTTGAAATCAATTTTGTGCTTTTCACCCAAATTTGGACGTGTGAGTCATTGTTGCCCAAATAAATAGAATCGATTTGAACTCATTTAAGCTTGTACAAACTATACTTTACATATATGTGGGGTTTTTTGCCCATGTGAAGGTCGACAAGACGTGATTTGATTGGCTTCGGTGGTTCTTTACAGTTAATCCATTTACTTAAGACATTCGATAACCACTGAGATGCACTTAACGTAAGCGATGAGGTGGTCTGAGCATACAAAGGTCCATATATAAAAGACTCATATTGAAACAGTAGCTTGGGTCAAAAACAACAGGTGAAACTGTTCTAATAAGGGAATTATTGTACACATGCTTATGATTAGTAGTACAGTCAGTACCTATGAATACCTGCTTTTGATTAACATCAAATCATTGCATATCCTTGACAACGTTTACACTCGATTTCACAGGAGATTGATTCGCAATGACTGTTTCCGCCTAGAATCTCGTGTGGTGCCGGCAAGAAACACACGGTGATGTTCTGAACTCACAGGGTCGTCATAGCATGAGGGGGGGATAAGTGCATTCCAACAAAAAACAGCTATATGTTCGAGATAACGTGATGCAAAACCTTGGTACGATTGAGGGCTAGGATTGTGCACCACACGAGATTCTAGGCGGAAACAGTCATTGCGAATCAATCTCCTGTGAAATCGAGTGTAAACGTTGTCAAGGATATGCAATGATTTGATGTTAATCAAAAGCAGGTATTCATAGGTACTGACTGTACTACTAATCATAAGCATGTGTACAATAATTCCCTTATTAGAACAGTTTCACCTGTTGTTTTTGACCCAAGCTACTGTTTCAATATGAGTCTTTTATATATGGACCTTTGTATGCTCAGACCACCTCATCGCTTACGTTAAGTGCATCTCAGTGGTTAGCGATAGTTAACCACTAGCGATGCAGTGTAACCCCGGAGATTTAGCATCATATGTACTCATC